CCGTTGGGCATCTGCCTTCTGCTCGGGTCATGATCCCGGGGTCCTGGGATCCAGCCCCGCATCGGGCTCCCCACTCAACGGGGAGCCTGCTTCTCCCTCTCTCTCTGCCTGCCACTCCCCCTGCTTGTGCTCCCCACCCCTCCATCAAATAAATAAAATCTTAAAAAAAAAATAGAATGTCCTGGATGAAGCCGTAAAACTTAATTTTATTAAATTTGACCTTTGAGTGGACATGTTGTAATATTCTCTGTGACAAAATGGTAGGCATACAGAAAGCATTTCTACTGTAAACCAAAGGGTAATGGTGGCTAGGAGAGACAGCTGTACGATGGACTTGGAAGCCCAACTAGCCACCAGATGACCATGGGTGTTCCAGCGAGGGTGCCTGGCAGACATCTTCTCAAGAATGGACTGTGTGAGGCCGCCGTGGCAAAGTCCGACCGTACTCAGCGCCGTGGCAGTAGCTGGGCATGCGGGCTTGGGCCAGACATGGGACACTAAACAAGCCACTCTTGCTAAGGACAGTGTTACACTGGCTTCGGAGTGAGGGCACAACCCTCCCTTCCAACAAAAAAAAATGTGTGGTCGTTTTCTAAGGCTTACCTAGAAGCTTCAGCAAGTGTTAAGCTTGATTAAAGGTGATTCTACTTGCTTTCGTAGAGTTCATTTTACTGTCTTTTAACCTAATTCCAACGAAACAGTGACATTCACTCACTGTGCTTCTATCTAAAACATGGACTCAGGTAAATAAATAAAAGTAGAGAGGTGCCACTGGTCTTAACCATTTTCAGTCTCTGCTCAGGCACCGCAATGGTGAATAAGGGCAATTCATAGACTTACTAATGTGGTAGGCAGCATTTTGAGATTTCCACCCCCCAGTGTATCAGACCCTTGAGTGCAGATGGAACGGTGCATCTGACCACTGGTTAGATTACTGGCAGATGTAATTAAGGCCCCAAACCACTGGACTCTGAGCTAATCAAAGTGGAGATTATCTTTGGTGAGCCTGAACTAATCAGGTGAGGTCTTCTTAGAAGAAGAGATTCAAAGGGCTAAAAAGCCTTTCCTGCTGGCTTAGAGAACTGAGCTTCTATGTTACAGGCAGAGGACTGAGGGCATCTTCTGGACAGGGAGAGCCGCTCCTGGCCAGCAGCCAGGAAGAGGATGGGGATCTCAGATTTACCACACGAGTTCTGCCAACAACCATGCTCCAGAAAGGACGCAGCCCCAGTGACCTCTGAGTGCAGCCTGTGGGACGCCGAGCAGAGGAAGAGCCGCTGTGCCCACACTTCCGACGTGCAGGGCTGGGAGCCCTCTGCCACATGGCTTAGACTGTATCCATTGAATGCAAATAAAACAGAAGCCCCTGGAGCACATCAGGAGACAATTCCCCGTGGGTCTCTGACACTTCTGCGCAGCCACAGATGAGATCCTAAAGGGCCTGTCAGGGAGATTTCTTTAGTGAATGGCCTTGCGAGACAGATGCAGTATCTTCCTGGAGCAAGGGCAGCTGCGCTTCCTGCCCAGCACGTAAAGGTCTTGGGTCCTAAGCTCAAGGTTCTTTGCCTATAATGCAACTCGCGGAGCACGCAGGTGTCTCTCAGCCTCTTGGTGTCCCCAGCAGGAACCGGTGTTTGGGAACCTGTCAGACATGCTGACGACGACTCCTGCAGTTGATCCCCGCACTGAGCCTCTGACCCAGGAGACTCGCGTCTTCTGCCAGCATTGGTGAGCTGACGGCAGCCTCACTCCACAGCTCGTTCGTAGCGTGAAATCTCAAACCCTTCAGAGCTCTCCCCACAGGCCAGGGGAATAAAGTACTTGGTGACCAGATGAAATGTGAATATCATTAATGGGATAGAATGGGGTCAGCAGGTTCCAGCCTGCTGCCTGTTTTTGTATGTTCTGTGAGCTAAGAATGGTTTTTACACTTTAAAATGGTTGTTATGAAGGACTGATCTATTTTTCTTGATTTTGCCTCTTGGCCTGCAAAGCCTAAAAGATCTACTCCCTGGGCCTTCGCAGAGGAAGCGTCCACATCCTTCATGTTCCAGCGTCTCGGGGCCCTTGGCCTTCTGCTGTGCCGTTGCCCTGCCCCGCTGGCTGGCGGGCCCCTGGGCTGGGAGCACTTCACAGAGCCGGGATGGAGAACGGTGCTCGCGGGCAGGGCTGCAGCGACGGGAACCATCTGTCTTTCAGAACATCTAAATAGATTCTTCCCGAGTTGCCTACTTTAGGGTGATAAATTCTGGTCGCAAAACGTATTTTTTGGCTGCTGCTGGCTATTCTTCTGGAAGGAGTAGTTCAATTTCGAAAGACTTCCCTTCAAAGGAGCAATCCCGTGGGCCAGCAACGGTCATAGGAATACACTGAGTGCTGTTCTGATCTGAGTCTGCCTGCTCGAATGGGCTCTGGCTGCAAGTGCTGGGCTCCGTGACAATTCTTCAGAGCATCCCGATGGTCTTGCTTTTCCAAAGTTTTTTTTTTTTTTTTTTACAATATAAAACAGCTCCCTCTCTCCTCCCTAATAGGAAAAAACAAGTCTGCTCAAGACGGAGGCCCCCAAATGGTGACGCTTGATTGTCTGTACTGCAGCCCCAGAAGGCGGGAAGCACTGTCCCCATTCCAAAAAGCAGTCGTTCCCACCCGGAGGAGAGCAGCCTTGCTCCTTCCCTCGCTGTGTTGCCGCAGTAACGTCTGCAGGCTTTGGGGCTGGCTCCTGGCTCAAATCCCAGCCTTGCTCCTTCCTGGCCACGGGACCTCCAGCGAGTCACTGGAGTTGGGTGTGCCCCAGCTGTCTCGTCTTTACTAGGTCGGTGGTAAGTCTTGCCCACCTTGCTTGTAAGCCTGGATGAGACCGCACTCAGGAAGCCTTTGTAAGATTACCCAGCACACAGAGCTGTTCCGTCCTAGGGCACAAGATCTGGTTTGCGTCAGGAGGGTAGTTGCGGTAATGCTGTGAAAACTCTGCAGTGTTCTCTTCACATCCTTTCCACAGTCATTCAGCAAACTTTCTTTTACTGCCTATACGAGGTCCCTGGAAGACTCATAGGACACACGCTGACCCCAAGACACAAGTTGTCATCAGCAGTACAAATTCACTTGGGGCTGACAGTCCTAAGGTGGAGGCTGACATCAGTCAAACCAGTACAACCAGCACCAGTGTAACAGGGAGACCCCCCCAGAGGTGTAGGGAGGGGTCAGACAACCTCTGCAAGGAAGGGAGATCTCAGCTGAGAACAGAAGGGCACGTAGGAGCACATCAGGGTCAGACGCTGAGAAGCCCAAGTGTGTGGAGGGCAGAGAACAGGCGGGAGGGAGAGGGGCTGGAGAGGTGGTCAGGAGCCACGGCAGTCAGGGAAGGAGAGGGAAGCAGACAAGTGACAAGATCCTGTTTGTATTTTTATTTACTTTTTATTATTTTTTTATTTTTTCTAAGTAGGCTCCACGCCCCATGTAGAGCCCAGTGAAGGGCTTGCACTCACGACCCTGAGATCATGACAAGCTGAGATGGAGTTGGTCACCCACCTGATGGAGTCACCCAGGCACCCCCATTTGTATTTTTAAAATACATGCTCTGCAGAGAACAGCCTGCAGTGCTGCACGAGTGGGAGCAGGGGTCCATCTCTCAAGTCAGTGTTACCAGTCCGGAGAAGAGGGCAGAAGGAGCTGGGATGAAGTGAGTGGATTTGTGCTGTTGCTAGATGTGGTTGGATGCTGAGGGTAAGAGAGAGGAAACACAAAACCCCTAGACTTTGGGATTCAGGCACTGGGTGGTTGGTGCGGCTGTTGACAGGGTTGGGAAAAGCTGGGGAGAGACCTGCCTGGACGTGCGGGAATCGAGCTCTGCTTTGGCTGAGTTAGGTTTGACAGGCTGATTCGCCACAGGTGTGGCCATGCCGAGTTAGACACCCAGCCGGGTCTCTAAGAGGACCCGGCTGGAGAAAGCTGTGGAAGTCAACGCGTATCCTGGACTGCATGAGGTCACCTGGAGTGTGTGTGGACAGAGGACAGGACAGTCCACTTTGCGGTGACGCCAAGAAGAACCAGGAGGGAGCTGGAGGCAAGTGAGAAGGAAGCGTTTTGGGAAGGGAGGGGGCAGCTGAGGGCAACAGCAGATCAGACCAGAAGTGCATGATTGGATCCGGCAACTCAGGGTCCTGGGTCACCTTGTGTGAGCAGTCTGCAGGGAGGGGTGAGCCCTGCAGCTTTACTGGTGAGGTGCGACCCCCATCAGAGACAAGGTCATGAAGCCTTGTCATGAAGCACAGAAGATGGGCAGTGACGTGGAAGGTGTCCCCCGGGGGACAAGCAGCAGCTGGTCACGCATGTGAAGAGGGAGAGGTGGGACTGCAGCAGCGGGCCCGACACAAAGTGTATGTGTGCTTCGTGTACAGTGTTCCTGGAGCTCAGAGTGGGCTGTAGGTTCTGGAGATGTGCCGGCTTAGGTCTAGTTTCAGTCCCATGGGCTTCCCAGTTACTTGATTCCCTGTAGAGGCTGTGCCGGATGGCGGGATGATCGGACCTCTTCTGGTTGATTGCTTTGAAAAAATGAACCTTTTTTTCCCAATCTGCTAAACAGATGATCAATTCAAGGAATGGGAAGGGCAGGCTTGTTTTTCTTCCCCTAGAACATAACCCGCCATATGGGGAAGGGGGATGCAGAGCAGACTGTTGATACTGCAAAGATGGGGGGAATGGAGAGGACGCGGTATTCCACCCTGAGTGACACCTGGGTCCTCTGTGGTGACGCGACCTGACCTGAAGCCACGCTGCGCCCCACATGGGTGGCGTGGGTTCTTTGGTGGCACTTAATCTCCGTCCTCTAAAGTATAAATTGTCTCACGTCAGTATTGCTTGTTTCACCAGACTGTTCTGGTCAAGATGACCTCTGGACCCCCCTGCCCGCAGCTGCCCCCCCATCTCCGCCCCGCCCCCTTGAGCCCCCTCCTCCTCGCAGCTGCCCCCGGTCCCGCCGCCCCTCCCCCCGCCGGGAGCGCTCCGGGCGCGCCGGCCCCGCCCCGCCCCGCATGGCCGCCCCGGGATAAGGGCCTCCCCGCGCGGCGCACCCGCTCTTCGCCCGCTGCCTCCCAAAGCCGCGGGCCAGGGTCAGGGGCCGCGCGGCCGTGCAGGGGGTGCTCGCGGCGCCCCGGCTCCGCCATGGTGGAGGCCTGGTACATGGACGAGTCCGCCGACGACCCGAGGCGGCCCCACCGCGCCGAGCCCAACCGCCCGGTCGGCCTGGAGCAGCTGCGCCGGCTCGGGGTTCTTTATTGGAAGGTACGCAGGGCCGAGGGCAGTCGCCCCATCGGGTCCCCCGTGCTGCCCGCACACCCCAACTTGCAGGGAGCGGGGCCCGCGGCCGGGACAGGGCCGGGGGTGGGGGGTGGGGAGCGGCGCTGCTCATGCTCAGTAGGGGGGCCGGGTGGTCGGCGGCGCCCGGGACCCTCCGCCTGGGAGCGGTGCGCATGCTCAGTAGGGGGGCCGGGTGGTCCCTCCGCCTGGGAGCGGTGCGCATGCTCAGTAGGGGGGCCGGGTGGTCGGCGGCGCCGGGAACTCTCCGCCTGGGAGCGGTGCGCATGCTCAGTAGGGGGGCCGGGTGGTCCCTCCGCCTGGGAGCGGTGCGCATGCTCAGTAGAGGGGCCGGGTGGTCGGCGGCGCCCGGGACCCTCCGCCTGGGAGCGGTGCGCATGCTCAGTAGGGGGGGGGCCGGGTGGTCGGCGGCGCCCGGGACAGGCGGCGCCGGGAACCCTCCGCCTGGGAGCGGTGCGCATGCTCAGTAGGGGGGCCGGGTGGTCCCTCCGCCTGGGAGCGGTGCGCATGCTCAGTAGGGGTCCAGGCGGTCGGCGTCCGGGGCATGCGGCGCTTGCCCGGCTTTAGGCGTGCCGGGCGCCGTGCGCATGCTCAGCATTGTGGTCGGCGGCCTGGCCTCTCTGCGCGTGCTCTGCAGGCAGGCGGGGCCGGGAGTCGGGCGCCCGAGGTGGCCTCGGGGCCGGGGTGTTTGGTCCGACGCGGTGCGCCGGGAGGACGCGGGTGGGTTCGCGCCGGGCACATTATTGGTGGACTGTGCGGGGCGAGAGCGGGGCGGGAGGCCTTGGAGGCCGTCCCCAGGCCCCTGTGCGGTGCCCGTGGTGCGCCGGCCTCCTCCGCAGGCGGCGGGTGCGCTCTCCGCGCGAGGTGCGCGCAGCGGTGCGGCCTGAGGGTCTCCTGGCGTGGGGCCGCCCTCACCCCCGCCGGCTGCCGGGCCCCGCTGCCCGACCCGCCGCGATGTCCGCTCCCAAGGCGCTCGCTGCCTCTGGGGCCGGGGTGGAGTGAGCGCCGGTGTGCGCGGAGCCGCGCCTCCCCCCGAGACAGGCTCAGAGGAGGTGCCAGCCCAGCAGCTCTTTAGACCTCGTCCGGTCTCTCAGAGGAGAAGCGAGACGGTTTCCATGGCACCTCCGGTTGCGTAGTGTTAGCTTTTTTTTTTAAGATTCCCCCCGTTTTTGAGTAGTCTCCACAGCCAGCGTGGGGCTCGAACTCACCGCAGGCTCTGCCGACTGAACCAGCCGGGCGCCCCTGGCGTTAACTTGCTCGATAAACCTGCCACCGCGGCCCCGGGGGCTCAGGTCATGGTCCCGGGGTCCTGGGATCGAGCCCCGCCTCGGGCTCCCTGCTCACTGGGGGGTCCGCTTCTCCCTCTCCCGCTGCCCCTGCTTGTGCTCTCTCCCTCTCTCTTTCAAATAAAGTCTTCTAAAAAAAGAAAGCAAGCTGCCAGTTATTTCACCAGCAAAAATGGGTTTCTTTAGGAATAGCAGAGAATTGCAATGCAGTATAAGCAAACCACAGCAAAAACCATAGGCAAGTCCCCCTAATAAATGAACAGTCTTTCATTAAAAAATGGGGGGTGGAATTGGGTGGGCTGTTACAACAAGTCTGCTGGACTAGTGGGGTCTCCTTAGCTGGGCTGTTGCTGGGCAGACGAACCCTTCCTTGCTCCTGCTGTGGTAAAGTGGCATCCACCTGCCAGGTGGGGCTTTTCCTGTTGGGTCTGCCCTTGACCCACAGCGCTGGGCGCAAGGGCTACCCTGCTGGTCCCCTGGCTCCGTTGTAAACAGGGTTCCTTTTCGTTCACGGTGGGCGGAAATGAAGCCAGGGCTAGCCTTCTTGCCATTAAGAGGACTTCTCTACTAAACACTTAGATTTGGGGCCTATGTTAATTTTTACAGATTACTTATCTTTTCCTAGCCCAAGATTTAACACTTAACCTACTGGAAAGTAGCGTCTTTGAGGCAATCAAATGGTATATAATGTCTATTATGACAGGGAAATAAATTTTGTTTTATCATAAAATCAATTTATCTGCAATCTAAACTATTAGAAAAGTCAAGTTACTGTACTTTGGGGATTTCATTCTGCTTTTTACAGTTTAAGAGCAAGAATGAGATACTGGTCAACTTGTGAATGTATCCAAAGGATAAAATACCACATTTTAAAAGGCATCTTTAGTTATTCCATGGGGTCAGACCCAGTTCCTCCTACTTTCTAGTTCTGCTCTGGATAAGTCAAAGGGCTATCAAAATTAAATTATGTTTAGGGGTGCCCGGCTGGCCCAGTCGGTAGAGCATCCAACTCTTGGTCTCAGGGTCATGAGTTCATGCCCTATGTTGGGCATGGAGTATATTTAAATAAGTAAATAATGTTTATTCTGTGGTTTTCGTGTCCTGTGTATTTTTATATACTTCCTTCGTAATAACTGTTCTTGGTCAGTGGGAACAAATGGAGCATTTTTTCATATCTGGTATCAGTGACATAGCAGAGTGATAAAAAGCTCTGTCTCAGACACATAATTTGAAGTTAGATTGTTTTAGTGTGGAGCAGTACTGTGCATATCATGAGGTGGATTTGATAATTTTGGGAGTCATCTTTGTAGAACTTAACGTGTTGATGACCAGTATTTTAAGATATTCTGGAGTTTGCTGTTCAGTAGTTGTGATAAAATGTGCATTTTATCGCAACATAGTGCAAGGTATGCTAAATTCGTTGCCAATAGTTTGAAGTAGGAGTGCAGATAACTCTGGCTGGGGCCCTAGGGGAGTGCTTCATGACAAACGTGTTAGAATGGGACCTTGAAGAAGAGATAGGGTTGTGATAAATGAAAATAATGAAGGAGATTTCTAGGTGTAGGAAGCTGTCAGGAGCAAGGATGTGGGGATGTGAGGCATCTTTTGGAGAGTAGCAAATAATCCTATTTGGTTTAGAATGTAGATTTTTTTTAAAAAAACAGGTGATAGGGACAGAGGAGTAGAAAAGGCAGATGGGGCCACATGATGGAAGGCCTCTCATACCAGTTTAATGAATTTGGGTTTTATTTGTAGGCTTCCAGAGCATCAGTCATTTCAGCCAAGGGAAACAGCTGACCAAAGAGATGCCATAGAGGGATCAGTTAGACTGCAGAGGATTGGTGCTGGAGGAACAGGACTGGGGAGGAGGTGGGGTTGGTGACCTTGGACGGGGTTGGTGACCTTGGACAGGCTTGGCCATGGATGTTTCACCTGGGCTCCTAGCAGTGGGACTAGAATGGGGATGTAGAATCCCCCAGGAAGAACTGCTGGGGAGAAGGGAGGCAAGAATTAAGTACAACTGCACTCTCCTTAGCTATAATGGAGAATTGGGAAACCCTCCAGAGAAATAGGGAAAAGAGGGGAAGGAAGGTTAGTTTGCAATTGACAGAGGACTGGATGATAAATTTGGAGTGCAATCATATTGGAGATCCAGAGAGAGAACACTTCTTTGTTTCCTTGCATTCCTGTGACCTCCTTTTTGTTGTTGTTTAAACTTTAATAGTTGGATGCTGACAAGTACGAGAATGATCCAGAATTAGAAAAGATCCGAAAAGAGAGAAACTATTCCTGGATGGACATAATAACCATATGCAAGGATAAACTACCAAATTATGAAGAAAAGGTAAGGTAACTCTAAATTCTTTGAAGAGGGGAATCGTTATATTCACTCTTATTAAACACAATCTTCTTTGTTTTTTCTTTTTTTTTTTTTTAAGATTTAATTATTTATTTGAGAGAGCATGCAAGTGGGGGGAGGAAGGGCAGAGGGCAAGGAACAGAGAATCCCAAGCAGACTCCCTACTGAGCAGGAAGCCAGACATGGGGCTCCATCTCACGACCCTGAGATCACAACCTGAGCTGAAATCAAGAATTGGACATTAAACTGACTGAGCCATCCTTTTTCTAATTTCTTAACATGGTTGCTGAGGTCATGGACTTGCAGCCTTCTTTTTTGACGTAGGTATTTAGTGCTGTAAATTTCCCCTAAGTACTGCTTTTGTGGCATCACACAAATTTTAAATGATTTTCATTTTCATCAGAATACCTCCAAATTAATTTTTTTGATTTCTTCTTTGACCCATGTGGGTTTTTTGATACGTGTTAGTTTCTAATTATATGGGGACTTTTCCGGAGACTTTTCTTTTATTGCCTTCCAATTTAATTCCACTGTAATCAGAGAATATATTTTGTAAGACTTGAGTCCTTGTAAATATATTGAGATGGTTTTAATGGGTCACAATATAGTTTATCTTCATGAATGCACCATGTGAGTCTGAGAAGAATGTGTATTCTGCTGTTGTTGGTTGACTCATTCTATGAATTGGTGGTGCTATTCAACAACTGTTCCTTTCTGATTTTCTGCAAGCTGAACTTGTTGTTTATTGATGGGTGGTGTTGAAATCTCCAACTAAAATAGTGGATTCATGTGTTCTTCTCATTCTGTTAGTTTTGCCTTGTGTATTTTGATATTTGTTGTTAGGCGCATCCATGTTCAGGATTGTCATGTCCTCTTAGAGATTTGACTGTTTTGTCATTACATGACATCCATCTTTATCCCTGGTGATTTTCCTTGTTCTGAAGTCTGTGTTGTCTGAAATTAATATAGCTCCCTGAGCTGTCTTTTGATTACTGTTAACATGGTGTATCTTTCTCCAAGTTTGCTTTTAACCTATTTGTGTCTTTATTTTAAAGTGGGATTCTCGGGGCGCCTAAGTAGCTCAATCGGTTAATCGTCTGCCTTCAGCTCAGGTCATGATCCCAGGGTCCTGGGATCGAGCCCCGCATTGGTCCCCCTGCTCACTGGGGAGCCTGCTTCTCCCTCTCCCTCTTCCTGCTGCTCTCCCTGCTTGTGCTCTCTTTCTCTCTGTCAAATAAATAAATAAACTCTTTAAATTCTGTCTCCAGTACTTACTAGCTATGTAACCTTGGGCTTCAGTTTCCGAAATGTGTGTCACATCCCTGTCTGGTTCTCATGCTTGCTTTGTCTCTGGAGACGGATTTTTTCTTAACTTTTAACATGCCCTGTTATTTTTGGCTAAAGCCAGAGTGTAGTGTCTGTTAAGAGGAACCAAGGCAAGACGGCCTTTAGTGTGAGGGTTTGTGTTACCTGGGTGGGAGTCCTGTTTGCTGTTGCTGGTGCCAGGGGTTTGGTTTCTTCTAGTTTCCTTGTTTTTCTTCTCCCCTGAGGTCTTTGTTTCTCCAAGCACTCTTCCTCACATAGATTCTGTGTCTCATGGTTCTTCCAAAGCTTTAAGTCACTATCATTCTTCTGAAGCCTTGTCACGCGGTAAGCTGTTGGAGAGGAAAAGTGCTTTGTGATTTCACGATTCAGTCTAGTTTTTAGTGGGCTTAGTTCTTCTGTTGTGGCCTTTTCATTCTCCCTTTAGGCTGGAGGGGGCTGGAGGTGGCCTTCTTGCAAGTCAGATAAGGCTCTGGTACAGTTGTTTCCCTGGGAGTACTGGCCTTTGGTATGCAGGATGTTCTCTGAGTTTTCAAAAATGGCTACTTTTCCCCTCCCATTGCCTGCACCGTGAAAGGCTATTTCTGGGATCTTCATCAAGAGAACCTGGTGGGGTTTCTAGATATTAAAGCCACAGACCTATGGGGCTCCCTTAATACTGGGCTCCCAGGAGTTTTTCACTTTCGAGCTGGTGCACACTCAGCCTGCTGCAGTTTGCCAGGATGACCACTTGTGTGTTGTACCAGTTTACCTGCTCCAGGAGGCTCTGCGTCCACCTCTGTCTCAGAGCTAAGGGGAGCATTTTATCCTGTGACCTCAGTCCTCTGATGGATCTAGGGAAAGTCACCCAGACTGTTCTTCCATCAGCTTGGATGTCTTCTGTGTGTGTTTCGGAGAAAGGAAACAGGCAGGTATACCAACAAACTGAACTAAGAACAAAAGCAGCATGAGAACACGGACCCTGCAAACATACACACATGGTGTCATTGCTGTCAAATTATTCTTGCCGGTCAGAGCATGAGTGTTACAGTACCTTACAAGATGAAGTCATTTCTCACCAAATGCCCTAATGGGTCATGAATTCTCTCAGATTTAAATGGTGTGCTTTTCCATGAATTTTAAATTACTCATCTTCTTAGCAGCGCTTTTGTCTTTTTTTTTTTAGTTTAGTTTTTATTCTTTATTTTTTTAATGCACACAGGCGCACACGCGTAAGAGAAAGAGAATGGGGAGGGGCAGAGGGAGAGGGAGAGAGAGAATCTTAAGCAGGCTCCTCAGTAAGTGCCGAACCCTGTGCGGGGCTCGATCTCACAACCCAGGATCATGACCTGAGCCGAAATCAAGAGTTGGACGTTCAACTGAGTGAGCCACCCAGGCGCCCCAGCAGTGCTTTGTCTTATTACATCGAAGGGGCTCAGATGCTGTTAATGTTAGTAATTATATTCTCCCCATCATCCTAGTCCTGCAGAACAGCTTCTCTCCTGGAGGAAAACTCCCTTGCTGATACAGGCTTATCTCTCTTGTTTCTCTGAAACAAACCTTTACTTTCTAATGTGTTATGTTTGTGTTAGGTGTCCTCATGATTAGATTCAAGTAATGCATTTTTGGCAGGAATCCTACACAGAAGGTGTTGTGTCTGCTCGGTGCATCCCACTGGGAGGCATGTGGTGTCAGAAGACCCTTCCTGGCTGATGGGAAACTTGGTTAAGTTCGTGTTCATTGTGTTCTTCATTGTGAAGTTACCATTTCCCCCTCATAACTAATAAGAAATTTGTGAAGAGTTACTTTGAGTCTGTGAACACTCTGTTTCTTCTCAAACTTTCACTCAGTGTTTGCAGTAAGTCTTGATGGTTCCTGCCTGAATCAGTCACCGCCATCAGGATGGTAGAAATGGTGACCTTCTAACTATCCTCTAGTATTGAATTGGCCTCCGTCTGTAAGGAAAAGCTGCCTGTTCCTTCTGTTTACATCAGTGTGGGCTCACAGAGTCTTACTTGAATCATGGCAGGCATGGATTACAGGCCAGTGAGTAATTTTGATGTTCGGATTGCCCCAGACTTAGCACATAGGAGTGTTTCTAACTGGTTCCTGTCCTTTTGGCAGATCCCCATCATTTTCCTGAGCACCTCTTTACTTGCTGGATCCACTTGTGCCAGGCACCTCCAGTTCCCCTGATCTAGCCCTGGAATCAGCCCCTCTTCCTGGTACCTGTCACTGGTACTTGGAAACCCAGACGGGAGTCCTCATTGCTACTCGGGGGTCATTGCCCCAGGTCCTTGCAGCAGATGGGGCAGTGAATTCTGTGTCTGTGAGAGAGAGAAATCGTTGGTTTGAGCTGATGCCTCTCATTCTGGTCAACTCCATAGGACTTTTTCTCATCCTCCCTCATTCAGGGCTTGCCCCTCTCTTGTCCCACTGTGAGGACCCCAGCCCCCAATCATGTCCACATACTTACTCATTTCCCTCAGCACACACAGTAGTTTCGGCCTGGCTGCCACACCCATCCGTTGCAGAGGGCAGTCCTGCTGAGTGGGGCGTGAGGCCGGTTTGCAGGTCTTTCTCTCAGACTGAGGACAGGGTGAAGTGATATGGTCACAAATTACTCAGGTCAGTATGGTTTAAGTTTTCCTTCCCATGCTTCTCTTATCCTATTTGTGATTACGTAAAACACAACAAAGTTCTAAAATCTCAACTTTGCCAGAAGGGTCATCCCCTCTCCCCCCCTTTACTGCACTGTTCCCACCGTCTGCCCATCGACAGTGGTTGTCTTAGCGTCTTGTTATGACGGTGCTCGTAGACCTCAGTATTCTGCCACTCTCTGGTGTTTGGGCATCTGAGTTCTTTCCAGTGTTTTACACTACAGCAGAGAGTAACCTTGTGCAAATTTATATTTATGTAGTCGGAGGCGAATCTTCAGGGTCGGTTCTGGGAAGGGGATTGCTTGGTGCGTGCCTGATGCGAATGCAGTTGGCTGGATCGTTCCCCTCCTGGGGGCCGTGACACTTGCGTCCCCACAGCCTGCCAGCATTCAAGACGGGTGTTAATGTGCTGCTCTTACTGTACGTAGCCATTTTCCAAATATTTATGGATTTTCCAGAAATGTGTAAACATTAAATAAGGAAAGCTGCAAACACACCTGCATGGGGGACAGAGAGCTGGGGAGATACCAACAGTGTGAGTAGAGACAGTTCGATGATGGCATCTTGGTAAGGGTACAGGGGTGGTTACTGTAAAATTCTTTCAACTATTCTCCGTATTTGAATATTTTTATTATCAATTTTAGGGGGATGAGGACTTTTTGAAAGACATAAAAGATTTGAACACGTGGAAGGTGTTTGTTTATGGAAACAGTGACTGCCTTCCTCACGTGTACACGTGGCTCCTGACCTGGTGTGATGACTGTGTGTGTGTGTGTGTCTGTGTGTGTGTGTATGCGCCAGGCACGTGACGACTGCGCGCGCATCTGAAGCACGTGATGACCGCGCGTGTGTTTGAGGCACGTAACGACTGCGTGCGCACGTAAGGCGTGTGACAACTGTGTATGTGCGTAAGGTGTATGATGACCGCGCATGCGTTTGAGGCGCGTGACGACTGCGCGCGCGTAAGGCGTGTGACGACTGCGTGCGCGCGTGCGACGACCGCGCATGCGTGGCACGTGACGACTGCGTGTGCACGTAAGGCGTGTGATGACCGTGTGCGTGCGAGGCCCGTGACAACCGCGCACAAGGCCCGTGCCGACGACCGCGCGCGTTCGTGTGAGGCCCGTGACGGCCGCGCGCGAGGCCCGTGAGACTGCCGCGTGCGGCGGATGCGAGCAGGAGCCCGGATGTGCGTGGGAGCCTCGACTGCGCCGCTGAGCCGCGTGAGGGGGGGCGAGCGCCCGGCCTGGGGCTGCGCGTTCCCTCGAGGGTCGCGGGGGCAGCACCAGCGCCCGGAGTTGGTGCGCGTGGGGCGCTGAGGGGGTCGCGGCACACGGACGCGCTGCGCCGCTGCTGGTCTGATGACGGGCTTCCCACACTGCCCGAGCTCCCGCTGCGACGCGGCGCCCCCTCCGCGCTGCCCCGCCCGGCGTCGCGCGCTCGGGCTGCCGCGGACCCGCGCGGACGTGCGCGCCCGGTCCGAGTCGCCGCTTCCGCCGTCCGCAGAGGAAGGCGTTCTATGCGGAGCACCTGCACCTGGACGATGAGGTCCGCTACGTCCTGGACGGCAGCGGGTACTTCGACGTGCGCGATGAGGACGACAGGTGGATCCGCGTCTTCATGGAGAGGGGGGACCTGATCGCTCTTCCCGCGGGCATCTACCACCGCTTCACGCTGGATGAGAAGGTGGGGCGGCTGCCGAGTTGCCGGGAGGGGCCGGGAGGGGCCGGGAGGGGCCGGCGGGAGCCCTCCCGTCGGGCGGCCCCCGACCGCGCCCGCTGCGCCCGCCCCGGAGGGCATCGCCCGAGGCGGGCGTGCGGGCGGTGCGGCTCCTCCTGTCGCCACTGGCGCCGGGATCCGGAAGCGCGTGCCTTCGTCGCTTGTCACGTGTGAGCGCGCAGAGGACGGGTGCCTACGAGCGAGACGGGGTTGAAAGCTCTGCTCCTTTCCATTTATTTGTAAGATTTTATTTATCTGACAGAGGGGCAGAGACAGCGAGAGAGGGAACACGAGCGGGGGGAGCGGGAGCGGGAGAAGCAGGCCCCCCGCGGAGCAGGGAGCCCGGCGCGGGGCTCGATCCCGGGACCCTGGGATCAGGACCTGAGCCGAAGGCAGACGCCCAACGACTGAGCCACCCAGGCGCCCCATCAACATCCATTTTTTAAAAGATTTTATTTATTTATTTGGGAGAGATTAAGACCATGAGCAAGGGCGTAGGGATGAGGCTGGGGTGGGGGAGGGGGAGTGGCAGAGGGAGAAGCAGGCCTCCCGCGGAGCAGGGAGCCCGACGCGGGGCTCCATCCCCGGACCCTGGGACCGTGACCCGAGCCGAAGGCAGACGCTCAACGCCGGAGCCACCCGGGCGCCCCTCGTTTTCACTTCCGAGGGGCCTCCCTGGTGTCCAGCAGCCTGAGGGCCCCGCTGAGCGCGGGGAAGGGCGCGGAGGCCGCAGCCGGGAGCGGGGCGGGCGGCGGGCCGGCGGGTCCGTGCTCGTCCGCGCGGACGGCAGGTGACAGAGAGCGGCCTTCAGCGGCGAACCCCCGCGGCAGAGGCGCTGCTGTGTGCGCTGAGCGCTTCTGCCCCCGCCGCGACAGCCGCGGCCTGCGGGGCGCCGTCTCTCGGAGGCGGGCTTAACGGGCGGCGTGTCTGTGTTTTCTAGAACTACGTGAAGGCCATGCGGCTGTTCGTGGGAGATCCCGTGTGGACGGCGTACAACCGGCCCGCCGACCAGTTCGAGGCTCGGGGGCGGTACGTGGCGTTTTTGGCGCAGACAGCCGAGCGGCGCTCGGGTCCCACGGCGCCTCGCCCTTGGGAATGTGCGGAGTCGCCGCACAGCCCGTCCTCGTCCTCCTCTTAGGCCGTAGACGCGGGGCGAGGTGCGCTTTCTTGGCACGGTGATTCGATCGGTGTGTTCAGTGAAAGGAGCTTGTTATAAAAGGGATTTTTACGTGGAAGCAACTCCGGGACTGTGGACAAACCACGTTCGTTTTACCTAGTTCAAGATCAGCCCGAATGGGAGTCCCCTCCCCAGTTGTTTAACCGCGGGGCTGCTCCATCCGGACCACAAGCAGACGTCTGCCCCTGCGGTGCCTGCCTGGTAAGAAGGCGTCGCAGGAGACAACAGGACCGGCCAGACAGAAGACACTCTTCTCCCAGAACCGGGTGGGGAGTGCTGTTAGTGGGGGCGATGCTCGGAGTTCTCATGCCACTTTCTCGCTCAGAATAAAGTAGCTGCCTTAATTTTACACTCTTGGCTTGCAGGCCTCGTTCATCACGGTCGTGGTGGTTCGCACACGTACGTAATGAATTTATATTTCACCTGCATTGGTGTTTGTTCACGGAGATTCCTAAGTTGATTTCCCTGTTAACTCTCCTACAACCAAGTTTTTGAATTTAATAGGAAAATTAATACATTATTTTTTTCCTCAACAATTATGAGGTACAGTTTTGCCTAATTTGTTACAATAATAGAAAAACCCCAAATCAATTCCATGTTTTGAAGAGCAGATTGTTTTAAGGATTTTTTAAACTGGATTAAAAACCTTCATGTTAAAATTCCTTTCATTGCCTCCACGTGGGCCTTGGGTACGGATGTCCGAGGCACGGAGGAAACTCGTCTTAGACGATTCAGTAAACTGAGTTTTAGGATTGGAACGCACGTGGGTCGCAGGAGGATGGTAAGGGGCGACACGGGCTGTGTCCGCCTCTGACGGGGAAGTCGGGGAGGCTCTTCCTGAGGGCGGCGCTCCTGCGTGGTCGGGTCGCTCATCCAAGGTGAATGTGGGAGAGGATGGATCCTTCGCACAGTCACCACCTGTAGGGCTCTGAGACCAGAATCTTCCCAGGGAGCACAAATGTTCGTCTTCCCAGTAGAACAGTTCTTGCTTTGCTGTCAAGTTTGTGTGGTTATCACTTTAGAGAGAGAGAGATGCCTGCTTGCTGAACAAGGTAGCTCTCCATGGGTGTTGCTTTGCAAATGTGTCGTTTTTAAATTTTTATTTTTTAAAGCTTAATTTATTTGAGAGAGAGACAGTATGGGGTTGGGGGTAGAGGGAGAGAGAGAATCTCAAGGAGGCTCCCTGTTGAGCGCGAACTGGATGTGGGGATTGATCTCATGACCCTGAGATCATGACCAGAGCTGAAACCAAGAGTCGGTTGCTCAACGGACTGTGCCCCCAGGCACCCCAAATGTGTCCTCTTTTTAAAGGTGCAGAGCACTTTTTGCCGTGGTGTTACGTGGCTGGGACACTGATCGGTCAGTGTGCATGCATAACATGCCTGCCTGTAGCTTCACGCTGGTCTGTGTGCTGGCGTCGTAAGAAAGCTCCGTGTTTTCCTTATTCTGACATAGGCTAAAGGCCACTGCAAACAGGGCCAGTGAGGTCTTGGGCCAATCCTTGCTGTTCCTGATGAAGAGGCAGGCACGAATAATCCAGGAACTTGTCAGCCTTGGGTCTGGATCCACATTCACCCTTTCACCCCAAGATACTCTCCCTGTTTGGAATCTGGTCTGTAAGGCTCCCGGGTGCCTGCTTTTTCACTCAGGGGTCGCCCTTGTCCACGGCTCCTGAGTCAACAGGGTCCTCTCTTCCCTCTGGTCTTCATGCCCCTCCTGCCACCATCTCGGTCCCCGACTGTGCAGGGATGGAGAGGGAGCTGGAGAGGGAGGAGGGGCCCCACCGCTTCTGAGAAGCCAGATGCTTCAGTGATTGTTGCTAATTAAACCAGGCGGAGCTTTGCATGTATTTTGCTATTTCTGCCCTTCAAATAAAAGAGTTCCCAACTATCAACTTATATTCTGAACTAAAAATCCTAATTGCCTTTTTTTTTTTAAAGATTTTATTTATTTATTTGAGAGACACAGCGAGAGAAAGAACACAAGCAGGGGGAGTGGGAGAGGGAGAAGCAGGCTTCCCGTGGAGCAGGGAGCCCGACATGGGGCTCGATCCCAGGACCCTGAGATCATGACCTGAGCTGAAGGCAGACGCTTAACGACTGAGCCACCCAGACGTCCCCTAATTGACTTTTTTAATGAAGTTTTTTTTTGTTGTTTTTTTTTTAAGGGAGGGAGAGAATCTTAAGCAGGTTCCCACGCCTAGCACAGAGCCTGGCACAGGGCTCGATCTCGCAACCCTGAGCTCATGACCTGAGCTGAAATCAAGAGTCAAATGCTCACCAGACTGAGTCCCCCAGGCGCCTCAGGCCTAGCTGAGTGCTCACAGAAGTGCGGGAAGCGTGGCAGTAACACGGGGAAGAGCCTGAGTGGCGCTGGCTGCTTCTCAGCGGATCTCAAGACGTTTCTCCTACCTCATCCTGCCTCCACGACAGGCCACGTATCCTGAGCCTTGGTTAAGAAAATAGGCTACCGGATTTAATTCTTACTTCAAAATAGCGCTTTAAAATATGAAAACATTTGGGGCGCCTGGGTGGCTCAGTTGGTTAAGCGTCTGCCTTCGGCTCAGGTCATGATCCCAGGGTCCTGGGATCGAGCCCATGTCGGGCTGCCTGCTCAGCGGGGAGTCTGCTTCTCCCTCTGCCCCTCCCCCTTCTGGTGATCTCTCTCTCAAATAAATAAAATAAAATCATAAAAAAGATTACACGCAGACTTTGGAGGCTGCAGTTCCTGAGCAGAATGGATGGCCCCTGGTACCCACTGTGTTCTGTGCCCCTCAGGAGCCGCCTCGACTGCGGCTGGGGCTTACCAACCCGGTTTCCCTCAGTTCTGGAGGCTGGCTGTCCGAGGTCAGGGTTCTTGCAGAAAGGCTGCCTGCTCGCCACGTCCTCACATGGCAGAGGGGGAGATGGCTCTGGAACTGCCCTCTTCCGCAGACACTAATCCCATCGCGGGCACCGCCCTCACGGCCTCCCCTAACCCCAGTCACCCCCAGAGGCTTGCCTCCTAACGCCATCCCCTGGGGTCTAGGCCTTCACCATATGAATTTGGGGGAGTATGTGCAACCCACCACACATGGGCAGCAGAAGCTGAAAAGCTTCCCTTTGGAAATTTGGAATTTAAGATCTTTCTGTTGGTGAGAACACCAGCCTCCGCCTCCAGGCTGCTCAGCAGGCCTCCCCTACCTGTGAACAGCCCTCCCTGAACAAGAGCTTCCACCTGGCTGCTGGAGAGGATGATTCATGCTCTTAATTAGACATCGGAGCAGTGTCGTTACCTTGACTTGACAGGCTGACGAAATTGCGGGGAAAATCTCCAGTTTGAAAAATGTCCAAGTGTGTATTGTGCACACGCATGCGCGCGCACACGCACACACACGCACACACACACACGCATGCCCGTACCCAGCTCTGGATAAGGATGCTGGAAACCTCCAGCTGTCTGTCCTGTCCGTCTGCTTGGCTGGGCCCTGAGGAGGGAAAGGCGGCTTGTGAGGGTGGAGGAGCTGGGTCAGGGGGCTGGGGGGACAGGGTGCGCCTGGCGGGGGAGGAGGGGTCCCTGGAGCGTCTGCACTCATCAGCCCGCAGCCAGGCCCCGCTCAGTTGGAAAGAAGCTGGGGCCGGCGTCCCTGGGAGTAGGAGCCCTTTTCTGAATTTCTATGTATTCTGGTCTGTTTTCTGCTTTAGGAGGTTAGTTTTCAAAGCCTCCTCTTGAAGGCAGTGGGGCCAGGGCACTGGAAGCGATCCAGGCTGAGAATGACACCCAGGCCAGTGGGGCTGGGGCTGGCTTGTCGCTGCGGCTGGGCCCTGGGGCCTGTGTGCACAGTGACCTCGCCCAGGGACGTTGGTCTTGTTCTGCACTGCAGAGCGCTTCTCCAAGAGGCCCTCCAACAAGGCCCCTGTCTTTCTGCTTCCTTTGTCATTATAGTTCAGTGTCTTTTCCACGTTAAACATGCTTGTATTTTACGCAGGCTGTTCCCCCAAATCCCCGGGCCCCCCCGGTCACCTTCCACCTAAAACCCAAGTGGGATCTGATACGTGATACAACAGCCTGGCACCGGACAAATCAGTGAGATCGATGTGATTTGCTTTCGTGTCTGAGTATTTCCCGGCTGCACATGGTTAATCGTGGTGGCTCTGGGGAGACAGGCCCCTGGTGGCGCCTGACGCTGTAGATTGCCCTTACAGCACACGGCCGGGTGTCCAAGGACGGGAGACGACAGTGGCAGAGCCAGGGACAGAGGTGCGCCCTCTGGCGGCGCGTCCTGCTGCCCGGGGCCGGGCCTTCCAGCCGCGGTCGCGCATCTTGACATCAGTGCCGGGGGCTCTGAGCTGCCTGGGGCCTCCCCGCGCCCACAGCGCCCCGGAATCCTGTGAGAGGTGCCTCCATTTCCACACACGCACTTCCCCGGGGGCGCAGAGGACAGAAAGGGAGCCCTGCTGCCCCCACAGGTGGTGGGCGTCCCATTGGGTGAGCGTGCAGATGCTGGACCCTTCCACGAGGCCACGGGGCCCGGTTCTGCTACCCGCATGGCTGTGTGGCCTTGGGAAAGTTCCTCAGATTCTCTGTGCCTCAGGTTTGTCTCCTGGAAAGGGAGGAGGGCCGAGGGCAGGGTCCCCCGAGGAGCTCAGGGCGTGGCGGCCATGGCAGGTTGTTGCCGCTGAGCAGGTGCAGTGAGCGCAACAGCGATCAGCAAAAATTCATGTCAGCCGGGACCTTGTTTGGAAATAGGATCTTCGTGGCTGTGGTCGGGTAAGGCTCTCGGTGAGATCCTCCTGGGTTAGGGCGGGCCCTGACTCCCGGACCGGTGACCCCGTAAGACAGGGAGGGACCCCAGCGGGAGGCGGGTGTGTGAAGGTGGAGGTTGTCACAACACCCCCCCCCCCGACACGAACGGGCCTGCGGACACCTGACCCCCGAACCGTGAGAGGACAGGCCAGTGTCGTCTTCAGTCCCCCGTCTGGTGATTTTTCTGCAGCAGCTTCAGGAAACCGGCACAGTCTCCTGTTTTCCCACGAGAGTCGTGAAGGTCAGTAAGGTCACCGGCAGGGGCAGGAGGCTCCAGCCTGCGTCCCCCCGGGGGTGGTGCGGGAACCAGGGTGGAAGCAGGCGGCCAAGGGCAGGCCACGTGCAGGGGGACCCGGCCCGCACAGCAGGGGTGGGGTGGCTCTGGCGGGAATTCTCTGAGGCTGACCCTGCCACCCCCTGCCGCTTCCAGCTGTGGGGTCCTGTGGGTGGCGCCCCCATCTCTGACCCTTCCCTTGTGGCTCTGCCCTGGGCATCACTCATCACTCTGGCCGTGGACCCTTTGGCACCTGGTCCTGTCCTTTCTGACGTGGCCTTTCACGTAAG